AGAAGAAGATGAGAACTTTGAGATGGAATATTAATGTAACGATTAAACAATGATAATAACAAATGTCAAGGTTAGAGGATCCACTAATGGTATGTCAAACAAGTATAGTATAAATTCTTATTATTCAATTGGAAACCACACACAAAGGAGGTTCTAATCTGATTATAATGTTAATCTAGACCCTTACTTAGTGTTTTTCTCATATTTAGAGTTATACAACTCCAAATATATCAAGACTAGTTCCATTTCAAAGACAACATTCATACCTATAACTTTTATAAAGACACCAACTTCAAATTGCATTGTTTCCAAGTTGTAATTTTGACTAGAAGTTCGCTAGTAAAACTGTCTGAATTTTAATTTCATGAGAGATAAATTTGACAAGCACACTTAAGTGTTTTCATGCATCACAACATCTATTATCATTACTCTATATATAGAAAACTCTCGTTTCCTATACATTTTCAAGAACCCTAGAATCACAACATTATGAGGTTTTCAATTATCTTTTACTAACTATGAAATCAAAGAGAAAAGCTAAGGAAAACACTTTTATAAATAATTTTGAGTTTAAATTGAAGAGTTCTTACCAATTTCTTCTTCAATCATTCTTCCTCTTCATAATTCATACTTGTCTCTTAAGTTACTCTCCTCCAACCAAGCATTCTAGTGTCAGCCTATAAGTATTTCTCTCCTCACAAACCTATTTGCAAGCTTCAATCTAATAATTGGAAAAAATTTCTCAAATAATTTTTGAAAAGAGGCAAGAGAGAAGCCTTTTCCTTTCTTTTTAGTTGTTGCTCCACATGAACAGTAGCAGCAAACATAATTACATTAAGTTTTATGATTCAATTACTGTTATACTCCATCTTTTCCTTTTTAAATTTAAGTTTATTGCACTGACTCGACACTGTGTCTTTATTTTCAGAGTCTTCCTAACCGGTCTTTCTGGTCGTCTTGTTACTCCAGTGTGATCCTAAGCGCTCAGGAAAGTCAGAAGGGAAGGAGACAGTCTTTACCGAAGAAGGCGCACCGGGCCAAGGAGAGAGCGTAGGTTCAAAGGCAAGTAACTGAACCGTAAGCCGGGGAGGAACGAACTCAGCCGGGGCTGACAAAGCCGGCTCTCCTACCTTTACTCCCACCGACCCTTTGTGTTTATAGTCAGGAACTGGATACCTTGTCTAAGCAGGTGTAGCCGAGATAGTATCAGAAGAAGCTATGGAGTTCTTGATCAGGGCAATAGGCTCAGAAAATTTTGTAGTGGTGAACCGACCGTTACTGGAACTCCTGAGCTGGTCGATCAGATACTGGATTCTGAGGTTACTGCTTTGTTTTTTCCAGCATCAATTAGAGATATGAAAGCTTCAACTGCGTTATCAACATGTGATGTAAAGGCTAACAAGACATCCCTAGCGTTTCTTGTCTGATGCGAGTCCTCACTTGCTTTTCCTTTGGTGTTTTCACCAACCGTAGTGCCCGCCACGATTTATGGTTTGGTGGCTGCAACATAATTATGTCCAAAAACCTTGCACTGCGAGCCTTTTTTGGTTTCCATTCATACTCCACCTCTACTTTGATTCGCGCATCCGAAAGTGGACTTTCAATATCAAATTGGTGAACTAGAGGGATTGAGGGATCAAGTTCAACACAAAGCCTCGCATACTCAAGGCGGGGGCAATTAAAAGTAAGCTCATCATAAGACAATGGTCTACCCATCTGCTGGCAGCCATACTCAATACCTTCCTGGACCATAGAGGAAATGACAATCCATGGTGCCATATCCACACGGGTATCTTGGTGATTTTTTTCATCAAACACAAAATAAGGGTGTCATTGGTGCAAGATAATGTACTTCCCTCCAAACATCCATGGACCTTATCTATTATTTTGAGCAAAGCCTCAGTTTTAAACTTGAAAACCATAAAAACATTTGCGATCGACGTAACAATTTCCAAGCCATGTTTATTCCATACCCGAAATGCAATTGTTTTGACTGCATAATATGACATGCTGTATCCTGGAAAAAAAAAAAAAAACCCAATCAAGCAGCACTTCCATTGATTTGCATTATCGGTTAGTAGGTTATCAATAATTTTCAGAATGGAGCCCAACTCTTTCCGTGGAAGTGGATCACGAGAGAACCTGGTGTTAGGGTTTTTAACTCTTAACCTTTTCGGCCCATAAAGTTTGGTTTGGTGCTGGATGTGGTCGTGGTTGTTTTGGTGGATGAGTGGCTATGTTCCGGGGTGGTTTGGTGTTTGTGGGTTTGGTGCTTGCTGTGGTGGTTTGGGTGATTTTGGTAGAAGCCATGGAAATTCAAAATGTTCCAGTAACAAACCAAGCAGCAAATATGAACAAGGACAACTCACAGTTGAATTCAAACCAGATAAAACCCAACGATCTAGTTCTACATCATCAAGTTAAGAATAAAATAACAAAAACTCAGCTTAATCCAACAGCTAAATCAACCACAATCAACGAAGGACCAAATTGACCTGAAAACTAACAGATTTCAGACCAAGAAATTCCCAACTATGAAAAGTGGTTCCTAATACGATCTCCACCGTTTAGAATGCAGAGGATAGTTGAAAGAACCTCCCTGCCCAATTTAGATAAAATTAACGCAATGATGAACATAAAAGAACTAGGCCGAAGACTATGACCACCCGTTTTATCCTGAAAACTTGTGACTTCAAGAACTCTCAAACAGAAGAAGATAATCAAAATCCGAATGGTCAATTTGTATAGCATATCAAGGCGCCCGAATGACCAGCTATCATATTATATCTCTATATGACAATACAAATAAAAAATGCGAACCTCATAAGATAAAATCTTGCTTGCTTATGATTGCTCGTGTGTTTTGGTTCTTTATTTAATTGACTTAAACTTGATTAATTCTTTGGATTAAAATAAACTTGTCTTACGAATATCAAATCAGACATTCGTTTTCTCCAGCTTTTCTAATGCAGTCCCATTCATTCAATTATTTCAATCCTTAACAAGATTTGACAAATTAGTATGGCATATAAAAGTGCACTTAAAAAGAATTAAGAATGAAAAAGAAATGCATACATGGTACTAGGCTTTTTAGTATATGTTATAATATAATATAACACTTCACCACTTTATTTTTTTTAACACATGTAATTTCAAACTGTCCCAGTTACCCTCATGCTGCCTTTAAGGGCAGCATGAGGTGGGCTATTGCTCTTGGAAGTCCAATGCATGAGGGGGCACATGATTTTGTCTTTAAAGATCTGTTTTCCGGGTCCATGACCCGGGGTCCTCTGTCATCTCCCGAAAAAAAGAAGAAAAAAGAATAAAGAAAAAAGAAGCTAAGGGAATTGTCAGAACTCAATTGGTATATACTCCAAATCACAAGTCAATAGTAGTGTCTTCTGGAACCCTCGAGCATCAGACATTTAGATTGTTATAATTGAAAATAAGACAAGACACTATAATTCAACGCTCACAGAAGGGGTGAGCTCACTAACTGCGCCTAATAACTAAGCCAGCTTGAACCCAATGTATCAGTCGCTTCATCAAGCTTTTACATGGAATGGTGTCTTAACAAAATAATAATAAACTAACGAAGAGGTGAAAGAAAACTAGCGTCGTAGCCTTATCTGAGTAGAATTTTTCTTTCATAGGTGAGCAAGAATTTATTTAGTTAGCCCTACCATCCAAGCCAAATCATCTGATAGAAAGAGTCAGCAAGAATTTATTGGACCCTTGCATATTCAAGTGGGAGATAGGGACAGTACTTTTTTCTCTCTTTTTTTCTAGTTGCCATTATACAGTACTGGCATCCATGAGAGGCTATGCATCTTCCCATGCCTTTACAGCATGGAACCATGGATTACTTGCATGGTCAGGATCAAACTAGTCAACCATGGATTACTTGCATGGTCAGTATCAAACTAGTCCTCGTTGTAAGAAAAACCAGTAATTTAACAAAGACCTCCGCGTGATGGCACGTTTTCAAGGCTGACTTAAACTCTGAACTTCTTCAAGTAGCCTATAATAATAGGGAACCGAAAAAGCTCGAGACAATCCCCGTTCCACGTGGGAAATGCAAATCCTTCTACGAAGGGGCTGCCTGCATGTCTCGTCAACAACTCGGTAGGATTGAGTAAGCAATAAGCATAGATCCAGTACTTGTATTTGGCTCAATCCGTATAATATAACTCGTCTGAACTATTCTCATTTTAAATACTTGCTGAACTCAGATTTGTTTTTCTTTATTTCAATATTTGAAGTGTAATACTTAAGTGTTTGGATTGAAACTCCTTTCTTTAAATTCTATATAAGAAAAAATCCTTTACCTAATTCGTAATCGAAGGACAAATTAAAGGCATCAAAAGTAATCTGAATCTTTTGAAAAGAATAGATCCTTAGAACTTGAGAGCATTCAAAATGTATTTCACGTTTCTATTGATTTTTTTTTTTCATGGTACAAATGACTCGGGGACATGTTATTAAAACATTTTAGGGAGTTCCGTCGATTTCTTTATTAATAGACAAATCAAGGTCTAAAATTGAACTAGATCTAGTATTTTTTTAAAAAAAATATTATCTCTCTATCTCAATGTCATCAAAGTACTCGTTAATTGAAATGTAAATTCAATCTCGACCATCTCTCTCAATTATTATTATTATTATTATTATTATTGTTATTATTTTATGCTTTTTGATTGATATATTAATTGCATTTGATTTTTTTTATTTTGATATCTAAATTTTGCATGAATTTAGGGTTTTAAAACATTAGGTGAAAGGAAGTTAGAGATTGTTTTGGTTTATAAGAAGAAAAGTGCTTACATATTTTTTCCATCAATCTTGAAAATAAAAATAAGTTATTTTGATCCATATGCATTACTAATCATTTAATTTTGGTCCATAGGCACTACTAATCATTCATTATGTCAGGTAATTTTTATTAATTAATTTGAGTTATAATCAAATGATATGGTTACATATTTGTCTTATCAACATGATAAGTTAATATACCATTTGTACGTGCAACTTCTTTAAAGTTGTTGTAAATTTGCCATAATAAAAAATTTATAAATGGAAATAGTATTTTTTAATAGCAAAATGTGGTTATAAAACATGTTATAATTAATTGAGTAAAATAGTGAAATTATAAATGGATGGAGTTACAATGAAGACTTTTGATGATAACATGCATATGTCAAAACTTGAATAAAATTGAATTTTGATCGAAAAGCTTGATTTGATAGGTGCTTTAGTAAATATGGATATGTGGGACTTAGTCATGGTACTTTAATAATTATATATAAAAAAGTAATGCATAATAATTTTAAAAATTTAATGAGAAATGCAGTTTTAGTTTGAGATATAGTAAAATTGATGTGTATGTCTTAATCAGTAGTGAAGTAAATCATAACCAAGTTAAAATATAACTTGGAAAGCTAAAAATCTAGATTGATAAAATCATAACTCAAAGATCACTTTATATCTAAGAACTAAAGATATTGGAATAAACTTAAACCCAAAGATAATCTCAAAACTCATAGTATATAAATAACACTATGAAACTAGTTAATATTTGATAAGTCAGACATATGATATTTATCCCTGAAAAAAAATGGTTTATCTTAAACAATTAAAAAGAAGAAACTCATGTTTACAATCACTAAGCCGTCAAAATTTACTACTCCAAAAATATTATATAGTCCATTCTAAATAATCATAACGGATCATTTTTGGGCTGTAAGCCAATAATGCCAATTTAAGAATTAATTAATATAAGTTCAATAAGTAAATAAACTCTAAAACAATATCTATAGGGATTGAACAAACTTAAATTAAAAATAATTATCCAACATCAAAAAGTAAAATAGGATAATAAAAATATTTTTTTTCATACTAGAATTCCTCAAAATAGTTGATATCTCAAAACCCTCTTAAATAGTGTTTTGCACTACCACAAAATTAGCAAATACAAAGAGAAAGGACTATTATTATTTTGGAGGACACAAACAAACCGGAGGGATGTGGAGATTAAGGTTTCCTATCACATAAAAAGAAAAAAAGAAAGAAAGAGAAGTGGGGCGGCAAAAAAAAAGAAGAAAACTCTCATTATTTTCTCTTATACCTGAAATTTTATTTTTATCTTTTCTCTTTCATAGTTTTTGGATAAACATGCAAGTCTAAGTTATTTTTTTTGGTTGAAAGGATACCAAAACTTTTGGATTTAAAGAGTTTGAGATTTATTTTATCTTTTCTTTTCAATTTATATAATGAGTAAGAATGTTTTTTTTATGCTTATTTTCTATAATTGTTTAGTTTGATTATTAGAAAGAACTCTAAGTTATTATTCTAACCATTCTATTACTAAGTTTGCTATCAAAATTGGATTTGTAATATTTAAACTTGTGAACTAATTAAGTTTAATAATTATGTTAAATCTATGTTGTTAATCTTAGAAAAAACATTAAATTAAATCGAACAAAGACTACAAGCAGTTATATTGTTTAGATTTATCATCTTAAAAAGTTCATAAGGCTACCATTGAATTAAATTACTAGTCCGAATATTGTGATTGTTTAATAATTAGGGTTAGTTACAATACAGATCGGTTAATTGACAAATATTAAGGAAATATATATATATATATATATATATATATATATA